GAGGGCCTGACACCCCGAGGGAGAAGCATTTTGTTCTGTTTTATTCATGTACGCTACAGTATTTACGTTAAGATTTGCATTAGCACGCCAGCTATCTGCTGCTCCACTAAGTCCTGTATTTAATCAGCAGAACTCACTGTCATGAACCACATGACAGAAAAGTCTTGTTTTGTCTTCCACCACATTCTAAGTTTAGTACAAAGAAAATAAGAAAATAGAGAGATTGTAAAGTAGAACGTGAGAGCATCTTATCCCGGGACGAACATTGAGCTTCCTTCATGTTTAGTCCATCACAGCCCTCTACAGAAGGTGGTCCCAGTCCTGTGTGGTGCTGGCTTTTACAAAATCAACGAAAGGAGTTCTGCTGCCATCAAGTAACGCAAAGCCAAGCTAAGAAAACGTGATGACAGCTGTTAGCGTCATCGAGAGCAGTGACCGGACGCCGTCACGTGTGACTTTGGCTGCTAGCAAACAAATCCATGAGTCTAGCCTAGCTAACGAGTCTCCTCCTAGAAAAAGCAGCTGGTTGTTCTTAAATAAAGCACCGAAAGCAGCTTGTTTGGTGGATGAGTTTAGCTGTGTGAGGTTATCCTGGAGCAGAGGAAGCTGATCAGTTTAACTGTTCCTCTTTTAAACGGCACGAGGACGAGGACAGCTGAAGAAAAGTACGTTTCCCTCCCTGACTGTGATGAAGTACATCCAGGCCACAGCGGTACCGGTCCACTGGATCAGGCACTGATTTTTCAATGTAAGGACAAAAACCGACAGAACGGTTGAATTTTCAGAACAAAAGTTCAACGACCTCTTCAGAGACCTCTACAAACGTGTTGAAAAAAAAGAATAAATCCAGCAGAGCAAATCCACCATCTGCACATATATGCTGCTGCAGTGACACCTACTGGACAACAGGGTGTACACTCACCAGATCTAAAAGGCTTCTTCTGTTGGTGGCCATCCTGTCTTTGGCCTGATGTCTTGGGCTGGCTCTTGAGTTGACTTTCCTGAACCTGGCTGACCTGGACATGAGTAGAGTAGTTTGTGTCTACATTGTAGTTTTACTGAGTGTTTGTTATTGAGCGTGTAATGGGCGGCGGCGACATACTGGAGTGCAAATATCGAGAAGTGTTCCCAATATTTTGTCCCCATCAGTGTATGTTAATGGATTGGACAGTGCTTTCATTTTCTTTCACTCTTTGCTTTTCGGCGCTACCGGGGCGTTGTGTCGGTGGTTGTTCTTCCCTGTCAGACTTACCTGTAACTCTGTTAGCCCCGCCCACCTAGCAACTGGATGATTGACAGGCCCTGACTGACAGCTGACCAATGACATGTGGCAAATGGCCAGTCAGCCACACGACTGGACAACAGGTCACGTAACTAGTCAGCCAGTTATGTGGGGGGAAAAACCCATCGTTGACCAGCCCCCACTGCACCGGCCCACCGGGTGCCAGACGGCCAGTCCACCCCGGGGCACATTCAT